TTTGCATAGAGTTCTGGTTGCTACACTACCAGAAGGATGTGGAGGCTTTGGAAAGGGCACAGAAAAGGTTTATCAGGATGTTGCCTGGTTTGGAGATTAATAGCAATGAGGAGAGATTGAACAAACTTCAGTTGGTTTCACTTGAATGTCAGAGGCTGAGGGGTGACCTGATAAAAGTTTACAAAATGATGAGAGTGTGGATAAAATGGATAGTTGGAGTTTTTTTTTCTTCCTAGGCTAGAAATGTCAATTACGAGGGGACATAGATTTTGGGGTAAAAGGGAGAAATCATAAAGGAGATATGAGAAGCAACTTTTTTTAAACAGAAGGTGGTAAGTGTCTGGAATGCACTGCCAGAGGAGGTGGTAGAGGTGGGTACCATAGCAACATTTAAGAGGCATCTTGACAGATGCACGAATAGGCAGGGATTAGAGGGAAATGGACAGTGTAGAGGCAAAATGTTTTTAGTTTAGAAAAGCATTATGTGTTGGTGCAAGCTTGTTGGGCCAAAGGGCCTGTTTCTGTGCTGTACTATCCTTTGTACTGGTCAGGGATATGTCCAGGCATAAGTCAGGGGTCTGGGCCTTTCTCTTCTCTGTCTGGTTGAGTCACTCAAGGGAATGGGTCATGGTCAGTTCATCAGTTCCATCCACTAAAACCAAGGGGAAAGACATGTCTCAACATTGTTCTTCTGTGGCTATGAAGTTAGGCATCATTCTGGCACAGTTACATTCGGGGCTACACAGTGTCAAACAAACAGGGGGAGGCGATGGCCGAGTGGTATTATCATTGGACTGTTAATCCAGCGACCCAGATAATGATCTGGGTTTGAATCCTGCCAGAGCAGATGGTAGAATTTGAATTCAATAAATATCTGGAATTAAGAATCTAATGATGACCATGAATCTATTGTCGATTGTCAGGAAAAACCCATCTGGTTCACTAATGTCCTTTAGGGAAGGAAACTGCCATCCTTACCTAGTCTGGCCTACATGTGACTTCAGACCCACAGCAATGTGGTTGGAATGAACAATAAAAAAAACAGATGTAAGGTGAAAACAGTGAAATTCTTAGAAACGTGTCAGATTGTACTGTTCATTGTTACCCATGCCACCAAAGTGCCCTAAATAAATCTCCTTCATTTTCTCCCTTCCATTACGTCTTAGTGTAGTCGGCAGATCCATAGCTGGGATGTAGGGAACAGTGGAGTTCACCCAACCTCACACGGCCCGGCCCGGCCTGTCCCAGACTGACCACGCCCGGCCCGGCCTGTCCCAGACCGACCACTCCAGGCCTGAATGAGGGATTGTTTGGAGAAGAGGAGTGGGCATTTAATATTTAGAGTTCTATTCCATCACAATCATGTTTGTTGCTGCCTGCCCAACTTCAGGTCTCAGTTAAAACCAAAAAATGAATGGGTTAATGATATATTGATCAGGAAACAGATGTCTCAGAGACTAACCTGAGCCCACCCAGCTTATATCCACCCATTTTATTCATGTTAAAATTCCCCCAAAGTCTTACACCAATGCATTTGAACCTTTACATGCTCTTTTTGAAGTGACCTGACCACTCAATTCTCTTTCAAAAAGGTTCACCTCCACCTTCAGGAAGATGCCAACAGATGGACAATAAATACTCACCTTGCCAGTGACATCTGAAACCCTGAGAATTAATTGTACAAAATTTGCATCACTGATTTGTGCTCAGCTGAATCTCTATTCCACAGCTCTTATCTCCTACTATTAATAAGATCATTCCAAACTGATTTCCTTGGACTTCACATTTCTCCACATTGATACTTACTCCCCTTTAAAACATTTGCTCCTTACAGTGACTTTTTGGCAAGCCCCTGGACTATACTTTGTCTGTATCTACAGTAGAATCTTTCTTGGCTGGTCTTACAGATACTGTTACATAAAATGCTGTGCACACAGCCAGCACCACTATAAATTCTTGCTATCTCTGCAGGGGAACTTGTTCACTGCTGTGAACAAAATGCTGACCGAGATTCTAAAGCATCAGCATTATCAGCTGCTCAGTATTGAACAGGACAGTGTGGGCTGTAATTAGGGAGTATATAGAGTTCTCTGAAATGAGAAAGAAAGCCAGTTCTCTGTTTTTGAAGTGTCTTAACAATTCTTTTACAATTGTTGCTGAGACTTTGGAATATTAGTTATTGTGCGCTGCAGTTCATTTTCATCACCGGCATAGGCTATTGCAAGGTTTCAAATGAGTAGGCAATTTTCTATTTTCCTAATCAACCTGCTCAACGATGTTAGCACACATATCCAAAACAGGTGAGACTTGAATACAGGACTCCTGGGTCAGAGGTAAGTATACTACCACTGGCAACCTATAACAGGCAGTTTTATTCACATGCTCATTATTAACATCATGCTGACTTCAGTCTGTAGAATCCTTGCCATTATCCCACTGTAAGATTCTCCAGTATTAGCCTAGATTTGTCAATGGTGATGATAATGAAGGAATTTGCCATCATTCTTCCAAAACAGAAAACTGTTGGAATTGACAGCAGAATAAAGCAGAAACCCAGAAGTAACTGTCAATAATTCCAACCTTAAGATGGTGCACTGTTGAGATACACTAAGGCAGCAGTCACTGGAATATCTATGAATTGTTGAGAACCTCTGCACTTATGCGCTTAGTATCGCTGTAAAACACTTGTAAAAGCTATGTATTGTTGAACAAGGTGAAACTGGACTTTTCATTTACTGCTGAGCTCATATGACTGCTAAACACTCTTTCAGGCAAAAGAAACTAACATTATATTTGGGGGCTATCATGTCTACATTATGTAGAAATTACTCTTTTCTGAAGGTTTTGTTTACCTTTGTTTTAGCTTGTATCTCAATCCAATCATGCCTTATTTCACTATCTGAACTTGTAAATTAAAGGTGAAGGATATTAAATACTTGTGACTTCCAAGCTCGCTATTTGTACATACTTGAGTGTGATTGGCTGCTACCTCTGTGCTGACATCAGTGCTTCTGGAACCTTCTTTCAGACATGTGGTGCACATCGGTGCCTCATTATTGACTGCAAAATCCCCCATTCTATTTTCTTTTTAATTCGTGATTTGTTATTGTATAAATTTGAATAATCTTGTGAGTTGATACAGTCAGCAATTTGTTGTTTACAGCAGAAAACCGAATTCAGGAATGAAACCTCTAAGTAACATTTTGAAAATGTTTGATAACTGTATGAACCTTAATATCCTTTCAAACAAATGATAAGAGGTTATCACCAAGGTCACTGATATTCGCTGGTCTCACTTGCCTCATTTACTGACACTACAAATTCTAATGCCTTTCAGTCAGGTGGCTATGATTTGTATGCACACATAAGGTATGCTGAAATCCCAGCACAGTTCGGATATGGGTTTGCTAACTGGATATGTGGAAGGATATGCTGATATGGTTAGATGAAGAGGGGTGGGAAGATCAAGTGGAGCAAAAACACCACCATAGACCAATTTGGGCTGCAGACTATTTCTGTGCTATAGATACCAAGCCACTCTAGACACCATAACATAAATATGCAATACTTTTAGCAAAGAAACAGCACTAAGATCAGTGTCTACTGAATCTGTCATATGTTAAAAGTTTGGAAGAACGTTCACCATGAACCCTAGGAGCTCTTGCCCACCGTCAAATATCATAAAATCCTTTAACATCCACCTAAACAAATAGATTACAGTTTAACATTTTATCTAAAGTACAGCACCTCAGACATTGCAGCATTCCCTCATTATTACACCAAACTCACAGGCCATCATTTTTTTGTTCAGCAAAAATATTATGTAAATTAAATGAGATCATCCATGATTGAATTAAATGGTGGAACAGGCACACAAGACATGTGATCTTCTTCTGTTCCTATGTTCTTAACATTTGACTTGAAGGTTTGAATACTACCATTTGAACCAATTAATGTTACATGTGAATAGAATTATGTATTTATTATTGTCCTGCAGAGGGATAGCATGCTGAAAATCAAGACCGGCTGTTACCAAAATCATCATAAAAGTTAAAGATTTTATAAAAATGTGCAAAAATTCTGTGATTTACCTGATTTTCAGACCCAGGTTGGCAGAAAGCATGGACCAGGCTTCTGTACTTAACAAGAATGACTATTTATTAAATAGAAGCAAATAGACTGTAGCTGCAAGTGACAATTACAAACTGTCAGCATATAACTGTACTGATTAAGCTCTTATCCCCTTATAAACACTCACAGACACACATAGAAATAAAGCTTGGATTTTATGGATAGAGGGAAAACTAGGAAAACAGTTTGTGCTCTTTGTTCACAGGATCTGCCAAGATGATTCTTGAGCTGCCCTTGATCATCTTTCTCAGGTTGTGTCACTGTTTTGCAAGGCTGGCTGGTTCACACTTGTAAAAGATCCTTGACTTAATAATTAAAAATCACAGATTCAACAGATGCTGAAGAAAAGATAAACTAGTTTTCTTCGGATTAAGTGCCATTCACTGCAGACAACGATGAGAGAGAGAGAGAGCTCCTGACCTTGTGGAAATATGAAGGCTTCTCACTGTCTTGTTCATAGCCTCAAGCTGATAAACTACCTAAGAACCAATCTCATAGCTATTGGCATAAAGAAGGCCTTTTTCATTGATAATTGGTCACAAGTCCAGAGATCAATCAGCCAGTTAGTTTTAATGAGGACCTTTAAAGGAGAAGAGAGATGTGAAGAGGTTTAGAGACAGAACTTAAGCTTTAGACAGCCAAAGACACAGCCATCTGAGGTGAGGTAAAGGAAATGGAGGATGCACAAGTGGCCAGAATTGGAGGTACTCCATATCTTAAGGGCTTGTTAAACTGAAGGAGATTCAAATGACAGGGAACAATGAGACCATGAAGTGATTTAAGTTTAAGAATGCAAATTTTTAAATTGAATTTTTACCAGGTGGGGGTGCTAATTTAAATTAGCAACCACTATGGGGCAGGCTGGTGGTGGTGTGAATGTGCTTGGTAAGTTTGAATGCATGTAGCAAAGTTTTGGATGAGCTTGACTTTAAGAAAAGAGAAGATAGAAGATAGAAGATGGGAGTCAGCCTAGATGGTAAATACAATAGATGCCTTTTTTAAATGTAAGAAAATGGATGTTTCACTCAACTTCTAAAATTGTCCTACAGAACTTGTTATTTTAAAACTTTCATAATATATGGGTGGAAATCTTGTTTTTATCCAGAGGAGTTGTGTTTAGAGAAAGGCATTTGTACACTGTATCTTATACAGTGACTTGCCATGGTCATATGACCTCCCAATGTAATTGTTTTCTGTACTGAAGGCAGAAGCTATTAATGGCAGTGGATAGAAGAAGATAGAAAGTGACAACTCAGAGCTGCTATAATGAACGACTGATGACTCCATCCTGAATTCCAGAGAAAAATTCATTTATACTTCTCTGGCATGCAGAACAGAACAAGAGTGCTCACCCTACTGAGGGTCAATGTTTAAAACCCAGACTGGAGAAATCAAGGTTTTTTAAATCCTTCTATCAGAAGGTTAAAACACTAATTGAAAAGAGACACCCAAGCCTTCTGGGCTGAATGGGAATAACTCTTATTTCCTCTGGTCAAGGTGCATGAAACCAAATAGGGTGTTGCAGGAGCAATTCCTGGGAATGCTGCCGAGGTACTCGAACTTTTGTACTACTGTAACATGGTGCAGGCTCCAAAACCAGACATCTAAGGGCAATATTTCTTGTTATGAATAAAACAAATGTCCAGTGCATTGGATTCCATTCAGAAGTGTCCATCAACAGCCCCACGCTATATCCAACCAGGAACATGTCTGTAATTCAGTTATGTGCTGAGGGCTAGTGCTTTAGCTGGTGTAGTGCCCATATTGGTGTGGACATGTGTAACATTTAACATGGTGGTTCCAGAGAAGTTTTGGTACCATGTTCTGCCTGCTATTCCAAATAACTGAACATCTTTGAAGATTCTGATGCTTTTCTGTTAGTAACTACAGTATGAGGAAGTACTACATGTATTCCCATATACATTGAAGTAAAATATATTGATAAATTAATGTTTATCGATCTTGATTATTATAGCTAAAACCGTCTCTTTCTTCCCTTTATTCCTTTAGTCTGGCTATAATACGAGAACACTAGTATCAAGGGAGCATGGGTTTCTCGTACAGGTAAGGAGCTCACCAACATCATTGTTTCAGGCATTAGCCCATCTCTTGCTGTCTCATAATTGATGTCCCTTTATTTGTACAGACCATTGAGTATGCAGAGCAGCGGATACCAGTCCTCAATGAGTACTGTGTGGTGTGTGATGAGCCCCATGTCTTTCAGAATGGGCCAATGCTCCGGGTCAGTACAGAGTTTACTGTTTAATTTTAAATATGCCTATGCATTCTGATGCAGTATTTATACTAGAGTGCTGATACAGGAAATAACAAAACTGATGTTGCATAGTACAAGTTTTGTACAAAATGACAGCAAATGATAGGTTTTGGCTGACACCATGGTCAGGATTTTTAATAGAGCCTGATGTCTATAAATACAGACATGAAATATAAAAGCAAGAGATTTTCGATGAACCCTCTTGAAATGCTGGATTGACCATAGTGGAGCTTTGCATCCAACTTTAGGCACAGCACTTTAGGGTAGATGTGAAATAATTGGAGTGGCTGCAGAATAGATTAATGAGAATGGCTTCATGGATGAAGGATTTCAATTACAAGGACGGATTGGAGAAGCTGGAGTTGTTCTTGTTCGAATATAGTAAGTTGAAGGAAGGTTGGATAGTGATTGATTTATTGTCATCTGTACCAAAATACAGTGAAAAGCTTTGTGTACAAGTGGTACAGGCAGATCACAGCAAGCAAAGGATGTACAGATCAAAAAGACTTGGAGGCATACAAGTTACATTGCAGGTTACATTATTTGAGACTAGAGTCCATTCAACAGTCTGCTGCGAGTCTACCATTGCCAGTACTCAGGCCTGGGTGACTGTAGGATCTTCGAACCTGTAATTTAGATTTAAAAGAATATTATTAGTAATTTTTACAGACTTAGTTTAAGTTTAAAAGTGTAGAGCGGCTAAAAGAAATGTTAGAGTTGGATCTGCTGTGGGAGCTTGCAAGGAGTCATTCAGTATCAGTACTACCTTGCATAAACACTGAAGGATGTTCAAAATCATGAGTTGGCTACACAAAATAGGTAGGGAGAAACTCTTCTTATTGGCAGAAGAATAAAAAAAACCAGGGAACATTGATTTAAATTGATTAGTAAAAGAATCAAAGGTGAAATGGGGAAAATCACTTTTATGCAATAGGTAAGAGGATCTGGAATGCACTGCCTGCGAATGTAGTAAAATTCTGTCGCTGGAGAGAATGGGATAATTATCTGAAGAGTAAAGAATTGCAGGGCTTCAGAGCAAAAGTAGGGGAGTGAGACTAGTTGAGTTGTACTTATAGATGCCAACATGGACATAGTAGGTTCAATACCCACTTATGTGCTGTAACCTTTCTATGATTTGTTTCTCCCACTCCTCTCTATACTTGTTTCTCCATTGTTATGTTTCACACTGGTGTCCCTCTTAATCATTTGTAAATTTAAATATTTTCCTGCCACTAGGAAACCCAACATGAAAATGTGCTTTTGCAATCTGATTGGAGTGCCATGTGGAAAATATTTGAATTTTACATTTAGAAATTTTTGAGGCGTCCATTTAAACTGTTTTCCAGTGCTGTAACATTGTGCGGTACTGCAAACATAATATAAGAAATATCTTTTTCACTCTGCGAGTGGCTAAGGTCAGCAATGCACTGCCTGAGAGTATGATGAAAGCAAGTTCAGGCAAAGCATTCAAGATGCTATTGAACTATTATCCGAAAGGGAAGAATAAGCAGGGTAATGGGGAGAAGGCAGTGAAATGTTTATTCAGACAGTGAATGCAAAATGATGGGCCAAATGGCCTCCGATATTGTTATCATTCTGTGATTCTGTGAAAATTAGCAAGATGCATTGTTGACAAACAGAAAGGAACATATTGCAACCATTCACTCTGTGTTTGACATTGTATTCTGAGATAACCAGTATTTTATGTACAGAACAATGGTATTCAAAGTTATCAAGAGCTCATTAGAGATATCAGTTTATGCCTGGGAACTCCATCAAATACCAGAATCTTTGTCTGGTACAAGCTACATAAGGAAAAGCATTATGGTTTTTTTATAAATTAGCATGAAGTAACAGATCTAATTTGCTAACAAGTAGCAAATATTTTTAGCTGAAAGCTGGACAGAGAGTTTTGCAGAGCCTATAGGTTCTCGGGTCCTCGTCATAAATTTGCAATTTAATTTTCAGACAGTTCATGCATTTGTGGAATAATCTGAAAGACCATCTCTGTGCAGCACATTAATACTCAATAAGATGTAATTGGTTTTCTGCTTAATTTCTATTAATATTTAACCTTATTGCATGAGTCCTTAACAAACTGTCAACTTTGACAAGTGAGTAGAACTGGTCGCATCAGCTAGACCACTCAATACACAGCTTACCAGTATGGCTTAACAGGAAAGAAAACCAGACAGTGTGCAATTGACACTAAGTTACTGGTGGTTTTATGTGTTTGCCAGTGCTGCAGGTGGCATCTGGTGTGCCTTTGCAAATGTCTGCTCTCCGATGCTTGATTCTGCCAAACACCAGCTCAAACATTAAGTGTGCAAAACAACTAATTTGTTTAGTAAACTGTGATTTCACAAAATGTCATAATATTTACTGCACTGCAAATGAAGTTTAAGGTGAGAGATATGATCCAGTGACGAACGTTGAACCCACCCACTTTGTGAGGGTTTACGTGTTCAAAGCTTTTTAAACTGATGAAAGCTTTTAAATCTGTGTTAACTTATGAATTTTACCAGCAGAGTTTGTCAATATGATTTAATTAGATCAATTGAAAGACACAAACAAAAGCCATCAAAGCCAAGAAGATTAGTTGGAAAGTGTAATTGAACGATGTTGGTCTTTCTGTTTCAATACTTATTACATACATGTTTGCAGCACAAAAGTTTAAGGATGAGCTGATAATTTCACAGTCTCGCTTACAAGTATTGCTTCTTAGTCATTATTTCCAAAAAAAACACCTTCATTGGTATTCCTTTCATATAGGTCTCATTATCTCCATGGCTTGTTTAAGCTGCTTTTTCTGTGATTAGGAGAATTTTTTCTTGATGCAGTTAAGAAAACAAAATCTTTTGCAATACTGATTCTGCAAGGCACTACTCCTTACAGTAATATTCTAAAATTTATGATTTTACTCCACTGTGCCATTGTGATGCAGACAATTGGCATACGTGAGTAAGCAGTAGCTGGCTCTGTCCTCTAAACTATGTTTGGCTCCTGATTGGTTATGGAAACTTAGCTGAGGTACTTTGTGAAGCTGTTAATCGGGGAAAAAAGCGAACTTTGCTTGTTTTGAGCAGTCAACACCTGAGGGGAATGTGAGGAATTAATCTTTAGGAGGAGGATAACTCAGACTGGAGATAAATAGCCACGTGGTCAGGGGGCTGAACTTCACCTGCCAACCTGTCCCAGAGAAAACAATACTCTATTAGTTTAGTTTCATTCATTACAAGTTGAAAACAAATAAATCTTAGGCTGTAATGGCTATTAGCAATAGTAGTTGAGAGAAAAATCACAAATTTGTTTGATTATCTGTTAGCCATTCATTTAATAGGAGTATCAAAGGGCAGTGCCATATTTAAAGAAGTGTGTGATTCTGTTCTAACACAGAAATTCTTTCAAGAGACATGGAAAACACAGTGCACAAAAAAAATCCAAAGAACTGTGCATGCTGAAAATCAGGAAACAAAAACAGGAATTGCTGGAAAAACTTTGCAGGTCTGGCTGCATCTGTGGGGAGAGAAAGCAGAATTAATGTTTTGGGTCCAGTGACCCTTCTTCAGAACTGATTGTAGCTAGGGAAAGGTTGCCATATATGCTAGAGAAGGGGTGGGGATAGGAGGAAGGACTATACCATAGGTGGAGATGGAGCCCAGAAAGATAGGAAAACAGTTTGGCAGACAAAGGAATGGGTAAGGGTCAGCCTAGGAGAATGAATAACTGCTTGTGAGGACTGTTAGTAGCTGACAATTGATTATTTGTGGTAGCAGCCCATGTGCTGACGAGGACTGGTGTGTCAGGGTTGGGGTAAGGACATGAGGAAAGGGGTTCAGGCCCTAAAATTATTGAACTCAATATTAAGTCCAGAAGTCCTTAGGCTTCCCAAGTGGAAAATGAGGTGCTGAGCTTTGCTGGAGCACTTCAGCAAGCCTGAGACACAGATGTTGGCCAGAGAACATGATGGTGTGCTGAAATGTCAAGCTCGGAGTCATTTTTACAGACAGAACATAGGTGTTCTGCAAAGTGGTTGCTCAGTCTGTGTTACATTTCCCGAATGTAAAGGAAACTACATTGTGAGCAGAGAAATCAGTAGACTAGATGAGTGAAGTGTAGTTAAATCACTGCTTCAAGGTAAATCATACCTAGAAGGGGCCTTAGATAGTGAGGAGGGAGGAAGTAAACAGACAGGTTGCTGGGGTAGGTGCCAGTGGGGTCTGGGCAAATGTTGGGAATGGAAGAGGCGTGGACTAAGGTGTCCTGGAGAGAATGGTCCATGCTGGTGGGATAGAATCATGGAATCCCTACAGTGTTGAAGACAGCCATTTGGCCCAGTGAGCCCAAACTGACCCTCCTAAGACCATCCCACCCAAACCCACCCCTCTACCCTGTCCCTATGACCCTGCACTTCCCATGGCTAATTCACCTAGCCTTCACATCTTTGGACCGCGGGAGGAAATCAAAGCACCTGGAGGAAACCCGTGCAGACACGGGGAGAATGTGCAAACTCCACACAGACAGTCGCCCGAGATTGGTACTGTGAGGCAGCAATGCTAACCACTGACCCACTAGGATGGTAGGTGAGGATGAGGGGAACCCTATCACTGTAGGAGGGAAAGAGGAGTGGTGAAGACCGAAGTGTGGGAGATGGGTCAGACATGGTTAAGGGCCCTGTCAAACATGGTGGTGAGGAATCCTCGATTGAAGAAGAACGTTTTGGAGACCCCTTGTCAAAGTCGGCATCATCGGAATAGATGCGACAGAGATGGAGGAATGGTAGAATGTAATAGATGAGAATGAGAGTCATTGTGAAGCTACAACCCATGGAAAAACCTTCCATGACAGCCTCCAGTACCACCATAAATCATAGAATCCCTACAATGTGGAAACAGGCCCTTCAGCCCAACAAGTCTACACCAAACCTCAGACCATCCCATCCCGCTATAACCCACACCTCCCTGAACA